TTTATTTTGGCTCTCAACCTCTTTAACTTCTTATGAAACTTGATCCCCTTCCAACTTACCCCCCTCACCTCGTCACCCCACCATTCCTTCACTTTTTTTTACAATATCTGGATGGGTAAGCCACATATTTTCGAATCTAAATGGTTTCCCTCTCTACTTGTGCCCATGTGGCACTCTACTCTCGCTGACTGACCCCCTTGCTTATTTAAAGTTTGTTTCAACCCCTTTTCTCCACCTTAACTAAACCAATTCTTATTTGGTGAAACCTGCTGATTAGCCTTCTCCCTACAACTGCTTTTTGTCAGCAGACTCAGCACCTAAGCATAAGACCTGTAGCACACCACCTTTTCCTCTTCTCCTATTGGCTCTTTCCCCTTGGTTGCTGGTGTCTTCCCTTTTGAATCATTCTCCCCAAATTTTACCATTTTAGTGTAAATATCAACCAGATTTCAATGAGCCAATCCCTTGCTTCCACAAAACCAATTTTCTTCAACCTTCTCATCCTCCTTGCTTCTTCCCTCACTCCACAAGGCGACTTCAATGGCTGTAACCGGCCAGGCTACGTAGAACACTTCATCAACCACCAGTTTTACTTAATGAGGGATATCATCCAGATGCACATTACTCAGACAAATTGCAGCTGAGTGGAGATCTTTCACAAAAAAACCGTCCAGTCTTGCCTTACACAGAGCAGCTATAGATGCAAACACTTCTGATGTCCAAAGATGAAACAGCAGACCCAATATCCAAACAATTACTCTGTCCCTCACATGCAGATCCTTTGAATGAGGGTCAATTCTGTGATAGTTACAGAATCTGAGTTCAATTTACAACACATAGCATGGAGTTGTAACTCCTCTCCAACTAGCTCAAGCAGGGCCTTACAAGTCTCGAAGGGGGTTAAGATGATAGTACATCTCTACTTAAACAGTTTAACTTCTTTAATAACTCTTCTGCAACTGTCCTCCAGTTCTTCGGAGGTACTGTAGAGGTTACAATAAACTTTTTCTCCCAATTGTTGTTGAGCTCATTGTAGGCCATTCTACAGTCTTTTGCTGCTTTACCCAGAATTTGTAACATAGTTTTCAAGGCGCCAAGGCGAGGCTAGGCGATAGGGGGGCGCCTGCCTAGGCGATGGATTTTTTTTATGTAGAAAACATAGATCCTAGGGTAGTTCCCTAGGTACCATAACCATATTTCCTTAATAATTATTCATAATTTTCATAAGAAAAGTATAGAGTTCATGTTAAAGTACAGAAAATCAACATATTAGTGAGAAGAATAAAAAGAAGGAAAAGAACATTCAAAAAATATAAGGGCTGAACCCTTATTTTTGTTATAGGAAAAGAAGAAAAAAAGTAGTAGTAGAAAATGTGTTGATTAGACAAAATTTTAAGTTCTTCCTTACTTATTGGTTCAGGTTTTAAAGTCTTTGAGGGTTCAATACAGCATTTAACAATGTTTGTATTTAGGGGCGAGCATTCGGTTTATTCGGTTAAAAACCAAACTGAATAAACCGAATATTTAAAAACTGAACTTATAAGATATAAAACCGAACTGAAACCGAATTATTAAAAAACCGAAACCAAATTTTTTGGTTTGGTTTTCGGTTAAAACTGAATTTTATTAATATTGTACTAATATATTAATATATTTATGTATGTTAATATTATATACATATTATAATATATTATGTTTTACATATTAATAATATATATTATATTATGTATGTAAATTTATTATGTATATAATAAATTTAGTTTAATAGTGCCTATTTTATAATTTTAATGTCAAAAAAATAAAGAATAAAAAAGTATTTTATAATACATAGTACAAAACTGCTTTGCGATTAGGCGAGGCGAGCCTCAAAGGGCACCCGCCTTGACATCTATGATTTGTAATCCTGCTACCTCTGTCTGATGCTCTTGTTTCCTAGCTCCGCCAACTCCATTCACTACCTGTATTTGTTCTTCCTTCTCCGAAATGCTACCTTCTCCAATTCCCTCTCGGGTAGAGAAGTCCTTAAAAGCAGTTGACACTTCCTACCATCCAATCCCCATCTTTCCTTCAGGAAAACTAACCATTTGTTATTCTCCTTCCCCAAAAAACTGCAACAGGGCCACAAACCTTCCTTTAGAATTCTTTCTCCTCTCTGCTACAAATCTCCTGCCATTAAACTCGTTTGATTCTTTGCAATCTAACTTCCCACTCACCTGAACAGCTTTCTCCAAGAATGTCCAGAATCAAACCACAGCTTCTTTCTCGACCAATAATACCATGGCCATGCTAAATTCTCTGATTTTCAAGGCTTTCTTCCCTTTCACCCTAAAGCTTTCAAAAAGAAACTGCTTAGCCTCAACCTTCAAAGACCTTCTCCAGCTTGTTGCCTTGTTGAACTCTCCTTCCTCCGTCTCAAATTCTCGGTTTGCGGTCAAAGAGTATGGAGTTCATCAAATGATTAGTACCATCAGGTAAACTTTTTTTTTTTTTTTTCGAAGAGATCTCCTAGGTAGCACTTATCTGATGGTATGTTTCAAGCCCTCAGTATATCCCTCTTATTCAGAACTAGAATTTCTTAAAGAGCAAGTAGCCTTTTATGTTATGGGCATATGGCACCTCATCACCTTGTGTTCTAAAAGCGAGGGGCACAAGCAAAAGCACAAGGGCCTTCTAGCACCTGAAATGCAAGGTGCAAGGCAAGGCACATGCTTGGATAAATCACAGTGCAATTTTGGAAAAATTCAAAAACAAAACATTAATACAAGAAAATTTGGAAACATGGATCTTAAAAGATGTTTTGGAAAGCTTATTAGCTTAAACCAAAATATGTAAGTATGACTTGTAACCAAATTCAAAGTGGAAGTGAAAGAAAACAAGTGTGCATTTTACCAACATTCTTCAGGCACTTAGCAATTCAAGCATGTCACCCATAATATTACAGCAGGATTAGCAAAGCAGAGGGGTGCAGTTGGAGTCTTATGTGATAGGCAAATAAATAACACTTAGATTAAAGGGATAATTCTATAAAACAGTTGAAAGCCAGCTATGATGTATGGGGCATTTTGTTGGGCAGTCAATAAATAACATGTCCTGAAAATGAGTATGGCAGACAGAAATTTTTATGCTGAGATGGATGAGTGGAAACCTAGAAATAATGGGGTTAGAAATGAAGTCATTCAAAGGAACCTAAGAGTAACTCCAATAGGTGATAAAATGAGATAAACTGGACTAAGATGGTTTGTTCACACACATAGAAGGCCACCTACAACACTTGTAAGAAAAAAAACGATCTGTTACAAGTTGAAGGGGCTAGAAGGGCTAGTGGCAAACATAGATGGCCGTAGGTCAAAGTAGTAAGAAATGATTTAAGCGCTCGTAATTTAGGGGTTAAAGTCCAGTTTTATACCTTACCTTAAAAAAAGATCAGTTGTATTATTGTTATTTCTTTATTGGAAACTTTGCTGAGACAGCCTCTGGTGTGGCTACAAATAGTAGGCCCAAATCTGATCAAGAAATCAGACTGATTTAATTTATTTAACTGACCAACTGGGCTATACCACAGGTCCTAATCAGATAGAAAACCGCCTCAAGTTGTTAAATCTGTCTAAATTTAATTTTTAGTTTCAATGGCATCATAGTGAAAATATTATTTGGCTCTGATGATTTAAATAGTGTTACAATGGGGAAAGTGGGTTCTTGGATTTCTGTTGTAAATGCGTTCAGACATCATACCATGTTTCTGTTGCTGAACTCCAAAAGTTTGTGGGAGTTGTAATGTGATGTTTGGGGGGTGGGGGCTGCCTCTTGCTTTGCCACCACCGGAATTTGTTCTACCATGCTTTTCCTTCGTGTTTGCAATAAATTTTCTTACCTTACTTTTTCATAAAAAATGTTGACTTTTCTAAATACGATATGCATCTTTATCTGTGAGATAATTTTTGATAAAGCAAATTGTACATGACAACTTAAGACTCTTCACTTCCAGAGTATGATTCTATCTTTCATTTTTTTTTGTCATAGATTGACATTTAAATGCATTAGTCTTTGGTGATTTTTTTAGGGTCATTTACTAGAACACCCCCTATGGTTTCACAGATTTATTTAAACCTACCCTATAGTTTTTATTTTACTAAAACACCCCTTATAGTTTGCAACCTATTTACTTAATCGACCTTTCAAGGGCATGGGCCCATGGTTGTTTATTCCAAAATTACCCATAACACTTTTTTGTATAGAAAACAAAATTGACTAAATAGAGAAAAATAGAGTGGTTGTCCATGTTTTACTAGGGGCAAAAATGACATTTTTTGTTTTTAGTTTCTTTTGATTAAATTTATTTGAATGGATATTAGGGTTATTACTGTCATTTTCTATTTTCATCTAATGGAAGGTTGGTTAAGTAAATTGATTGCAAACTGTAAGGGATGTTTTAGTGAAACACAAACTGTAGGGTAGGTTTTAGTAAATTAATGAAACTATGGGGGGCGTTTTAGTAAATGACCCATTTTTTATTATTATGTTATGTGAAAATAACAAGATATCAGAAGTAAATTGATGGATTGCATGTGTGAACAACAGATTGTTTTAAAATAAAATCCGGAATACTGAGAAGTTAGTGGCAGAAACTGGAAAATCAATCATGGACTGGTTGTTGGTTCTTCCAGTCTGTATTTGGGGGAGAGATTTTGAGAAATAGTTGGGCTGTAAATTTGTAATCCAGTCTGTATCTTTGATTAGTTATTGCTTTTAGGTGTTTCCGTAACTTGTTTTTTGGTCATTATCTTCTTGTTTTAATGATATTTCTCTCTTTTACCATAAACAGTTTTTTTGTTATTAAATGTGTATGCATGCACCTGAAATGATGTCTCATGTTTTTCATGGCTATATTGGTTTCTGCAGCCAAAGCTAGTTTGATGTTTTTTACTCTGCCTATTGCTTCCAATTATGTTTTTGTTTCCACATGGGATTGACTTGTGCAGTTGTGCTGAGCCTATTTTCAGGCCCTCCAATCTCTCAATGTCATGAAGCTGATCATACCAGCTATTCCTGAGCTCATGCATACATGGACGGTGGTTTTTGGTTTTGAGCCTCTCAATGAATCACACAGAAAAGAAATGAAATCCATGAATATGCTAGTCTTTCCAGGTACTGATCTATTACAGAAGGTACTACTGAAGCATGAATCCGCTGAAGGAAATGTGCATATGGCAGGTATTTTGTAAATGAAATGCATTGTCCTACTGTCAACTAAATTATATATTATTTCTTCCATTTTTTTGGTTTAATTTTCTATGTTTATCATGCAGATGCTAAGCCTATTGATGCTGAAGCCAACACTAATTTTGTGCCTGAGGTGACAAAGAATTCTGATGTGAGTAAGGTTGATGGTGACCTTGGTGTTTCTGATGAGGGTGCTAGTAATGCATGTGAGGTGACAAAGAATTCTGATGTGAGTAAGGTTGATGGTGACCTTGGTGTTTCTGATGAGGGTGTTAGTAATGCGTGTGACACAAAAAATTCTGATGTGAGTAAGGTTGATGGTGACCTTGGTGTTTCTGATGAGGGTGTTAGTAATGCGTGTGACACAAAGAATTCTGATGTGAGTAAGGTTGATGGTGACCTTGGTGTTTCTGATGAGGGTGTTGTTAGTAATTCATGTGAGGAGGCAAAGAATTCTGATGTGAGTAAGGTTGGTGGTGACTTCGGTGTTTCTGATGAGGGTGTTGTCAGTAATGCATGTGAAGTAAGTGAAGAAGTTGATACTGTGCGTACCCCTGTGATGCATGATGCTTTGGATCCTCCTTGTGGATCCATGTTGCATGTTTGTGAGGATGCAACATTACGTAATTCTGAAGAATCAGATGTTGTGAAGTCTCTCCACTCTGAGGTGACTCATGATGAACTTGCTTTGGATAGTAAAGCTGCTGGCATTGAAAATGCACATGAAGTAACTACTGAAGCTGCTGCTGTTGAACCTGACCGTGAGTGTTCAGGTGAAACTGAAATACATAATACTTCTGAGGTGAGTATTAGAAATGCAACGCTGTTTCTGGTTTTAAATTTGAGGCTACTCATGAAAGCATAGCACAATACAACTGTGATTTGAGTGGCCAGAATATTTATGATATAGAAATGAAACACTTAGAGATTCTTGTATTGCTGTTGATGATATATGTTGTGAATTTTTTTGATAATAAATAAAAAGAAAATTTTATTAAAATGAAGAAGTTTATCAAAATTGTGATGAGGGAACACCTGCCATGCAAACCCAACATAAAAGAATGCATATATACAGTTCTCTTTCAGAGATAAAGCATCTTCTCTCTCTCTCTCTCTCTCTCTCCATATCCCTAGTTAGCCACCTATACAACCTTGAAATCTCACTTCCATATCCCTAGTTAAACAGCTATGCTTTTTATTTCATTCCTGTAAAGTGTAAATCCACAGTGCATTCTCCCTATTTTGCAGCCACCCTATAACCGCTGTCTCTTTCAATAATCATTTTTTCCTTTCTCTCTGTACACCCTCAGATACATCCATTATTTTAGTCGTTGATGAATCACCAATGCCATTTGGAACCAAGAATAATGCAATAACATGGCCTGCTTCATTACTGAAAATGCCTCCCACTCCTGAGGCCCTGGATTTCCCCTACTACTGCTGTCGAAGTTAAGTTTTTTGAATCCTTTGTCTGGAGCAACCAATCCCTGTAAGTCAAAGCTTTTCTTGATGTTCCAGCTACTTCCTTCCATAAACTATTTTTTATATTGTGAAAAAGTTATGCTTCATCCATTTGTTCTATAAAAATTGAGGTTGCTGCTGCTGAACCTGGTCTAGATAATTGTGACAAGGTCTTTGTACAACCTAGGTTTAAAATGCCAGTGTTGGTGGAGATGTCAGATATCCAAATAGGGGAAATGTGTTGGGTAATGTCAGAAATGTTGTATGGAAATATTCCGAAATTTATAGACATGGAGGAAACATTGTGAAATTTGTGGAAATATACAATGATATTTTATGAAATGGTAAAAAAGTGTACATGTACCCTCATAGACCATCATCTTTTTCGTTCCACAAGTTTCTAGAACTCAAGTCAGGTGTTGTTCAGAATTTCTTTTTTTGGTAATAAATAAAAAGGAATTTTTTTTTTGATAAAAGAAGCAAAAGCACATTAAGAGGGTTATGAGAGATCTCCAAAATTTAAGACAGACAAGTAGGGTGAATTGTGGATGGACCTTGGTGCTTAAAGGGTAACTTTGGTGAAGAGTCCAATAATTTAAGATAGACAAGCAGCACCGGTATGAGGAAGTTCAATCAATTTATTAATGATATTCAGCTTAAGTAGTTGCCTATTTCATACCACAAGTTCACTTGGTCCAATCTTCAAGCTAATCCATTATGTCCCAAGTTGGATAAATTTTTGTTTACCTTGGACTAGGAAGAATATGGGGAGGATTGGCTTCGAGAGCTTTACCTAGGGTTACTTCAAACCATTGGCCTATTTCCATTGCCAAGGAAGAGTTTAGAGGGAATGGCCCTACTCCGTTCAGATTTGAGAACATGTGGCTTTGTCATAGTGGCTTTTTGGAGAAAGTTAAGGAATGGTGGGAAGGAAGTCAACCGAGAGTTAAATGGAAGGGCATGTTATTCCATAGGAAGTTGAAGGATCTGAGAGCCAAAATAAAAGAATTGAATATCCACCAGTTTGGTAGATTGGATCTTAAAGAAGAGAATGGAACCTTTGGAGTGGAAGATAAAGATTTGAGATGGTCCCTTAGGAAGAAGTTGGAGGATGTGTTGTTTAAGGAGGAGTCAGTTGGAGACAAAAATCTAGGCATAAGTGGATTAAGGAAGGAGACAGTAATACTAAATTTTTTTTATGCCTTGGCAAATGGTTGGAAAAGAAGAATTTCATTTCGAAATTTGAGGCGAATGGAGCCATCATTACCCAACAAAGTGAGATTGAAAAGGCTTTTGTGGATCACTTTAAATCTATTTTTAGAAGGCCTTTAAGGGAGAGGGTGTGGCTGGATGGGTTAGACTTTAGAGTGGCTGAGATTAGCTGAAGATCTTATGATGTGGATGGAGAGGAGTTTTGATTTGGAAGAGATCAGAGAAGCAATTTTTTCTATGGATAGATCTAATGCTCTTGGGCCAAATGGTTTGACAATGGTTTTTTTTCAAGACTGTTGGGAGATCCTAAAAATGATACCCAAGAAGTTTTCAATGAATTTTTCAGGAGGGGTGTGATTAATCACCCTAAGGACTTTAGACCCATCAGCTTGGTGTATAGCCTCTACAAAATTATTTCAAAAGTGCTTTCTTGTAGAATAAGGCATGTTCTCCATTCCATCATTTCCCCAAATCGAGGGGCTTTTGTGAAAGACAGACACATTATTGATCAGATTCTTATAGCCAATGAAAGTGTAGAAGAATTGAAAAAGGTGGGAAAATGGCTTCATTTGTAAACAAGATCTTGAGAAGGCTTATGATCTGGTAGATTGGGACTACCTCTTAGAGGTCTTGAAGAGTTTTGGGTTTGGAGAGAGATGGTGTAAATGTATTAATGGGTGTATAAGGACTTGTCACTATTCTGTTTTGGTGAATGGGAAAGTTATTGTTCATTTCCAGGCTCTCAGGGGAATTAGACAAGGGGACCCTCTCTCTCCATTCCTTTTCACTTTGATTGCTGATGTTCTTGGAAGGCTAATCTCTAGGGCGGATTCCAGAAACTTGGTGAGGGTTATAGAGTGTGCCAATCACCTATTTACAATTTGCTGATGATACTATCTTGTTTTGTGAAGGGGTGATTGGAAGTGGACATAAAATTTGAAGCTGGTGGTTCATTTATTTGAGAGATTGCCAACCTTGATGGTGAATCTTGAGAAAGTTGCATTGCAAGGATTAACATGGATTAGAGGGAGATATCTGATACTACTGAAATCTTAGGTTGTGGGGTGGCTCAATGGCCTTTGGTTTATTTGTGGCTTCCACTGGGTGATAACCCAAGATGTGCTAGTTTTTTGGAACCTAGGGTTAGAGAGATTCACTAACAGGTAGACATCTTGGAAGAAAAGCTATTTGTCCTTGGGGGGAAGAATTACATTGATTAGGTCTACGCTGGCTAATTTGCTTGTGTACAACCTTTTCGATTTCAAAATTCCTGAAGGTGTGAGTGGAAAATTGGAAAAATTAATGAGGGGTACTCTTTTAGGGAAATGGTTATGGAGACTGCTAGCGGAAAAGGACAAATTATGGGCAACAAGAGCTTCTCCATGGAAATCAATCTATCATATTCTTCTGGTTTTCCTTCCCTTTGTCCGATACAACATGTGGTCGGGTATTCTTGTCAATTGGGAAGTGGGAACATGTGTGGTTGGGCGACCTCCCATTGAAAGAACAATTCCCCTACCTTTTCAGACGTCTATTTTTAAGAATGAATCTGTGTCTTCCTTTTTGTTACCTTCTAGCTTTGCATGGAACCTGGGGTTTAGAAGGAGTTTCAGGGAGGTTGAATTGAGTAATGTTTCAGTTTTACTTCACTACTTGGATGGGGTATTCTTGAACCCTTTAGAGTCGGATTGTAGGATTTGGTGTATTGATTCTTCTGGTTCCTTTTCTTGTGCTTCCTTCTTTTTGGCTTTGATCCGACCTTCTGATGATTCAATGGTGACTTCCGATGAAGGAGGTCTGGAGTAAGCCTATTCCTCCTAGGATAAGTGGTTTCTGTTGGGAAGTTTTCTTGGGTAGAATTAATACTTGTGATCTTCTCCAAATAAAGAGACAAAATTGGTGCCTCTCCCCAAATTGGTGCATCCTTTGGAAGGCTAATGGTGAGACTAGTTACCACTTATAAATTTCCTGCCCTTTTGCTCTTTATATTTGGGAATGATTTCTTTCTTTGTTTGGGTGCAGGTGGAACCCCCTGCCAAATGTTCAAGGCTTGTTTGCTTCTTCCCTTGTTTACTTGAGAAAGAGGAGGGGGAGAACCCTTTGGAGGTGTACAAGAGCGGCAATATGGTGGACAACATTGGAAGAAAGGAATCAAAGAACTTTTTCTGACAAGGAAAGGAGCAGAGAAGCAATCATGGAAACCATCACTGTCAGAGTTTTCCATTGGGTTAAATCCTTGAGAAGCTTTGATGACATTCCCACAAATGACTTGCTTAGAAAGTGGTAGGAGGTGGCTGATTCTACTCTTCCAAGAGCTGTTATTAGGCTGGTTTGGGTCCCACCTCCTAGTAGGTTTTTTAAACTGAATTTCGATGGTAGTAGTGAGGGTAATCCGGGCCCTTCAGGTATTGGAGGTGTTTTTCGGAATGAGGAGGGATGAGTTATTGCCCTTTACTCAGGACCAATAGGTGTGGGAGACGCCTTGTGGGCAGAAATCCTGGCTGTGATGGAAGAGATCCGAAAAGCAAAGGAGCTGAATATATGAAAGTTGATTGTAGAAAGGGATTCCAAGTTGGTAGTTAGGTGGCTGCAGAAAGACGAGACTGGCTGGTGGAAATTTATTAATGAAAGGAGGAGGTTTAAGTTTTTAGCTCAGGATATAGAGATCAAGTTGCAGTGGGTTAAAATGAGTGCAAATGCTTTTTCCGATGTTTTGGCAACGCAAGGGGTGGAAAGGGATCAACTTTTCTGGGCTGTTCTGTAATTGCTGCCCCCTATTGTCATCTTGGAGAGAGTTAAGAGAGTTTATCTCTCTCCCGGATGTTCTCTTGTATCTTTTTCATTATTAATGAAATTTCTGGTTATTGATTAAAAAAAAAGATAGGGATCTCCAAAAGATCAAAAACAAAGCAAAGCAGAAAAGCTGAATAGATCTTTTACAACAGAAACAAGAGAAAAGCTAGATTAATTCAAGAAGGATCCAAAAGCCAACACCTAGATCTTCCTTAGAAACTCTTTCAAATTCTGGAAGGATTAGAACCCAATCCATATTCATTTTGCCACACATTAGTGTTAATTTATCTCTAGAACATGTTCTGTTCTCAAAAATCCTTCTATTTTCTTTCCTTC